TGGGGAAGCAAACTTTGTGAGTAATAGGACAGAGAGTCCTATTACTGTTTTCTTTATAAAGAAGAAAAGTAGGCTGGTGGAGTGGCTCAAGTGGTGGAGTGCCTGCCTGACATGCACGAGGCTCTGAGTTCAAAGCCAGTACCACCATTAAAAAAGAAAAGTGATTGTTTAACATAAAAGAAGAGACAGGGTCCGGGGTTCTAGGCAAATACAGAAGTTAAGAGAGACTGTGATTGGTGGATGAGCCAGCCAATGAAAAGGCCAAGAAGAATTGCCAGGTTCTGTTTGTACCTGTCTGAGATTGCAGATGGAGCCTGTGGTGGCAGTAAGGCTTTCTTTCTTAAAGTAGAGCTTTACAGCTTAGGGTGAGAGTGGGGAAGGCATCCAGTTGGGTTGGTCAACATAGAGGTTTGGTTGAGTGGTAGCAGGGTTAAGACAAAAGGTGCAGGAATTGTTGCCTGAAGTGGCACCAGACAAGTAACAAAGAAACTAAAAAGAGAAAAAGGGGTAATGCACCAACATATGTATTTCCCACATACGTGGGAGAGGTGCAGGGAATGAGTTGTTCTCAAAGAAGTGCCTTTGAATTCCAGTTCATATAGCATCTTCCACAAAGAAAAGTTTTTTTTAGAGAATTGGCAAGACAGAGGAAAAAGACTTTGATCTGCGGCAGCTTGGGGGAAGGGAAACAAATGGCAGACGGGCTAGTTAGCAAAGCTTGTTCATGCAGAAGTGTCTCGTGTCAGGTCCCACCTGTGAGGGTCTGAAAGTCATCTTCAGTGGTTAATCTTTTCCTTCCTTGTAGAAGGGTGGGACAGGACACTTTTTGTATACCTATGTCTGCTTTTAGGCAAAGGGACGACAGACAGCTCTGCTTCTTCATTGTCTTCAGCTCATCAGCCCTTCATATTTCAGGGTGGCATATTCTGGTTGCCCCAGGGTCTCTCCTTATCTCCCAAGTGTATACTAATAAGCTTGTTTGTTTTTCTCTTGTTAATCTGTCTTTTATTACATGGGTCCATTCCAAGTAATAACTTCCGTTCCAACTTAGAAGTTACGAGGGTTGAGAAAAAAATCATTTTTCCTTCCCTACGACTCAGATTAGAAAACAGTTGAGCAAGTGAAGGAATGTGAGGTGTCAGTGAGGCCACATAATTGGTTTAGAGTTAGAAGTGGGAGTACAGGGGTGTGGGGGGACAACCAGGAAATTTCTGTCAGAAGTTCCATATCTGAGGCAGACTAGTTCTGGTTCAAGATAGTGATATCCAGGACACAGTGTGTGAATGGCTGAGCAGAGAGGGGGTGAAGGAGAGAGGGTTTGGGCTCTGGGGCACACACTCCTCTGGTGCCAAACCATTGGGAGACGCAGGAAAAAGGTGGTAGAGCAAGAGCTGAGGTCTTTGCACTCAAAGGTGGTAGTTTGAAAACCACTGGTTTTGCATCTTTTGGGGGAGTCCTGTTGTCTAACACAGTCTAGGACTTGGCCAGATTTGTGTTATTGTATGGAAGAGATCTGGGACTGGTGATAGCAAGAAAAGTATTGATGACATAGGCGACTTTGTTTACCATGGGTCAGATATTTCTGGAAGCAAGCTGGTCAGGAAAATGAAATACAAATGAAATAGGGGCCCAAGAGGCTCAGCGGCAGGAGGAACTTGAACTTGAGTGGTAGCCAGCAGTGACCTGGATGTGAAGCATGAGGCTTCAAGTTTCCAAAAGGAAACTTTGGTATAAAGTATTCTGTTTTTTTCTGATGCTGGTTGACAGATTGTTAATGAGAAGCTTAAGCAGCAAGTACTGCTAATAAAAGCATGGTAGGTGGGTTTTCTGTGTGCCAAGCACGTGATGTGATTACGTCACCTAACTTTAAACCACCCAAGGAGGTCGACAATATTTATATCATTGTTTCAATTCTAAAGATGAGAAAAATGGATTTGAGATTTTGTGTATAGATTGCGACTGCAGTCAGTCCTGTTAACTGTTGGCATTGGGTTTGAACTCAGGCACTGTTATCTGTTGGGGTTGGGGTTTGAACTCAGGTACCATTAACTTCTGGGGTTCGGGTTTGAATTCAAGCAGTGTGAATTGAAACCTTCTGCTTATCACTGTGTCACACCCAGTGTTAGAAAGGAGGAGGCTTGATTCAGAATCCAGCCTGAATTGGAGGTATCATTAACTCCTCGTCACCAATGGGGGACTCACCCCGTTTTGCAGGGCACGCATTTCAAATCATGGTTATGAATAACAACTGCAGATTTACTGTTTTTAGCATTAAATTTGTTTTTCTATTTAATCCTGGTAGCAGAGTATCATGAGAAGTCTGATATACATATCTAGATAATGGCTAATGTTACTAGTCTGTTTCTTTGTTTTGTTTTTCTGGTGCTGGGGATCCAAACCCCACACACATCCTAGGCAGCAGTCTACCTGAGCTACACCTCGAACCTTGAGCAGTGTATTTTAAAGAAACACTTTAAATCGCCCTGTGAGGTGATGTTGAGTTGTTTGAGAGGAGGAGAAGCTTGAGCTTGAGTAGTCAGCATCCAGTCTTTGATATGTTAAAGCTTGGTTCGTAATATAGTTACATTGCATTTTAAATGATCGCTTTTTCAATAGTGTATCTATGTGTAATCATCTGAAATAGTATCGTGTAATGGTCTAAAATCCAATGGAAACACTGTTTTCTCTTGGTTGGTAATGAACTGTTTTCACACCTTTAAACTCCTCTCTCAGGTAGAATACTGTGTAGTGCTCAACCCTTTTCTGCTGCCACCTTCAAGATGGATTTTACTGATTTCCAGAGTTTATAGATAATTACAATTACTTTTATAACTGGACCAGTCTGGAATGTTCTCAAATCAGCAAAAACAAAGTTCACTGTCTCCCTAGCTATCTCTGTCTTTTTATTTTTATATCACTGTAAACACCACCTACTTCCTACGCTGTAAAGGTTCTGAAAAGCAATTGATTTTATAATTTGTAAAGACTTATAAGAACCTGTTGGGGGCATGGTTTAATAGGTAGAGTGCCTGCCTAGCAAGTGCATGGCCTGACGTCCAGTCCCTAGTGCTGCTGCCAGCCCCCTTCAATAAAAATGATATCACACCTGTTGTGGAATTTTATCTAGAGACTCAACTTTTTATTCAGTTTCCTAGATTAGTTTCTCTGAGCGTTGTATTCATATTTTGATTAGTTTGAGGCAGCAAATGTAAAAACTAACTTTTACTCCTCTTTACAGGAAGAGCCAAGTTTTGCTTTTCTCTTTGTCAAAAATAATAACCACCAGCCCAGCAAAACAGCTGACCGATATCGAACATGTATTTATGCCAGACATTACTGCACTGTGCTCGTGTTGCATTCTCATATGCTGTATAATTCTTGGTGTTATTTTTATAAGCATGGGAACAATCTTAAAGTAGGTGACTTGAGCATGTCGATGTTGGAGGTGTCAGTCACGGGCTGTGGCACGAAAGCATGCTAACATGTTAGAATTTCCTTGGACACTGAGCAGACCTTAGTGGTGATTTTTTCCACAATGGAAAAAGAAGCTTTTCTATGATATACAGCATGTCCACACACACAGTCAGTTCCCACGCTGTTGGAATTTGCATGAATTCCTAGGGAAAATGGTTAAAGTTATTTGCTTCACTTCCAGTTCCTGGCCATTTGTGAAGCGAGCGTTTGAGAATGGAGCTCCACTGTGCACTGGCTGCCCGGGCTGTGCGGTGGACACGGTGGTGGAGGCCCCGCCATCATCTCCAAGTGCTGTTGGAAGAGCTGCCGGGCCTGGAAAGGCCTTCACTGCTGCAGCCTCTCCGTCCCAGGCCCCTGCTCAGCTGTGCCTCTGGCACTTTTGGCAGCTAGAGGGAATAAAGGCTTCCTGTTTGAGCTGGGCACTGCCACATGTGAACGGCTTCTCTATCTCCCGGGTTTTGTTTATCCTTTTTCCTCTTTCAGTTGCTCGACTCTGTGTATTTTGACCCCTGAGTTCTGTGTTACGTTTTCAGCCGCTTAGGAAGACTTTAGACCACAAAGGGCCTTAACCATTATCTCCTGCCCCTTACCTCCTCATTCAGTAGGTGGCATTGACTCACGGACGTGAGATGTGGGACTTGGGCCGGGACGAGAAGCATGTCCCATGACCCTGGGCCAGTGATTCTGCACCCTCTCACAGATTGAGTCCTACCTCACATTGTCCTGCTTCTGGTCTCTTACTTGCTTACCCCGAACCTGGCCTGCCACCATCTTCTTGATCCTTTTGCTCTGACTTGGGACAGTTGTTTGCTGGTGTTAATCCAGCTTTGGAATTACTGTGTAGGCCCTGTAAAGCTACTGTGTGCCCTGCTGTAATTTTTAGCACGTTGGGTAAGAATCTTACCAAAGGCTTTCTGTGGGGAAAGTGGAAATCATGTAGACTTGTTTTATTATTTGTCAATGGGAGAGACTTTGGAAACACATAGAATACAGAGAAAATCGGTTGATAAAGGTTTTGGGTTGAACAAGCAGAGCAAGAGTCATAAGAAAACTGTTAGACAATATAGTTAATAGGCAAGGGTTCTGTGTCTTTATTCTTTATGCAGAATACCTGTTGAGTCAAATTCTGCTCTGTAGGTGGTAGTGTAGACTAATTTATTGGTTTGACTTTTGACACATTTGAATTTGAAAAAAAAAAGACAGTAGCTTGAGTTGTTTTAACAGATCTGATCAGCAAAGAAGAATGTAGAATTTTTCAATGCAGTGAAGTTTTGGTATAGTTGAAAAAAGATTAGATGCTTTTAAATTGCACACAAATAAGTTAAATTTGACTTTTTCAGCGTAGAGTTTTTTAAAGTTATTATTCAACCTGTTTGAAACTCACTTTTCCTTTATGTAAAGTGGAGGAATATTAGCTTATGACGAATTACAGGGGTTAAGTAAAATAGCACTATGTTGTAGGCTCTTGGTCTTCCTTAGCTGCCTGCCTTCCTTCCTAATGGTGTAACCCTTGCTGTTATGTTTAGATATCTGATATCCATGTCACGGGAGAGTCAGAGGACATGTCTGCAAAAGAGAGATTGCTGTTATGGACTCAGCAGGCAACCGAGGGCTATGCTGGAGTACGGTGTGAAAATTTCACTACTTGCTGGAGAGATGGGAAACTGTTTAATGCCATCATTCATAAATACAGGTATGGAATTTGTCATTTTCCCTTTTACAACTGTGAGACATGTATAGAAGCAATGTGTTACATAGCAGAAAATTAGAAAATACAATAAAATTAAAGCATCACAGTCCCACAACTCAGAGGTCGTCACTCTAAGCTTTAGTATGCACATGCACACGCACCAACATAGCTGAAATAGGTCTTTGAATTTTGCTTGTCACTTAGCAGTCAGTGAGCGCCCATCCAGAGAGATTACTTCCATTGTTTCTACAGGGAACTGGTGAGTAGGAAGGTAAGGGTTTTCTGGTGAGAATGATTAACAGTTACGTCCTTGTTAATACTTAACCTAGTCCTTACTAAGCACCAGGCTCTGTTCAAATTAAGTAATATGGGTATTAATTAATTTCATCATCACAACAACCCTGTTGTTATCCATAGGTGAGGGGCAGAATCTGAGACATGCAGTAATTGCTTGCCTGGTCTCACAACTTAGCAAGTTGGGATTCAGAATGAGGCAGGCTGGTTCTGGAGTACATGCTTTTATTGACTTAGAAAGAGTTAAATCTGGCTGGACTTCATGGCTCATACCTATAATCCAAGCCACTTGAGAGACAGAAATTAAGAGGGTTGCAGTTTGAGGCCAGCCCAGGCAAAATGTTCATGAGATGCCCATCTCAACAAATGTGCCTGTCATCCTAGCTACATAAGGAAGCACAGATACAAAGGTCTTACATAAAGAAGTCCTTGTCTTAAAAATAACCAAGCAAAAGGGCTGATGGAATGGCTCAAGTGCTAGTAGAGAGCCTGCCTGGCAAGCAAGAGGCCCTGAATTCAGTCTCCAGCACTGAGAACAAAAACAAAACACCAAACAATAAAACAACCCCAACCCCCTGCAAAAAAAACTAAATCCACAGAAAATGTTTATTGAAAATTATTCATTCTTAATCGCTGTTATTTTCCTTAGTTTTACAAAGATCTTGTCATATTGTTGACAAACTGACCATGAACTAAGACTAAATAGAGTAATCCATGCACTCATAAATATAATATAATAAATATAGCAATGATGTAGAGTAGTTGATGATTTGAGGCATTCTTGAAGTGTCTTGCATATGTTATAGCACTCATATCTCCTCTAACCGTTCATGGAGTAGGACCTGTTATTTTCCCACTTTTATGGGCGAGGAACCCAAGGTCACCCTCGTAATAAGTTACAGAACTAAGATTCACATGCACATCTTTTTGACTTGACCCCTCCCCCTTTCTTTTCTTCCTTTTGCTCATTCCTCTTTCCTCTTCCCTTTTGTCTTTTGCTCCCTTTTTGTTTTGGAACTTTCCCCTTGCAGAGCAGTAATGAATCCTTCATGTGTCCACACCCAAGAACTCTATTTTTGAACGCTATAATAATCTCCTTTCTTTATGGAACTGCATTGAAAGAGAGGTGGGTGGATTAAGAAAAAACCCAGGATCAGCCTGCCTTTAACTGTTCAAAGATAAGTTCCTCATCTGTTGAATAGCCCAGTGCCAAGAGGGTTTAGTGGCTGTGGACATGGACCTTGTCACACTGCACTTCTCAGGTGACTTTCAGCAGGAGGCTGGACACATTTTATACATGGGATGATAAAATCTTTATTCCCTTTGAATGCAGGATTTTGATTGTGATTCCCAAAAAGCTAGGTCATGATACAACTTCAAGGATGTGTTCTGCTGTCTTTAAAATGTTTTTTTTTTAGAAGCCAGCTCTTGTAAAAGAATCTGCTTTTACAGTCTGTGGTCTCTGAGCACTGTCTCTTTAATACTTACCAGGGATCTGAAGAACAAATTGTCACACATTGTGCACATGTTCCTTAAGTACTTGAGCAAGTCATTGTGTATGTCAGAAACCCTAAGATTTCTTAAAGAAGTTTAGTGTTGTAGAGCTCTTATTTCATTAGGTTAGAATTTGAACCGTGTGGATGTTATTTGGTCTGAACTTTTATCTTGGCATAGTGATCATTTTGAAAAACTGTTTAGCTTTAACTCTGAATTTTGGTTTTCCTAGTTTGCTTTGTTTTCGTTTGTTAGAGTTCATGGTAAAAATGCCATGTATCAGGTTTAAGTGCTTACAGGATTCCTTTGTTGCCGAAGTTCTGTTAAGATATTCTGTGTCCCATAAACTATTACTGTGGTTTCTGTTACTAGAGGAAACCTTTCATCTGTAGAACTGTTTTTTAAAGTCCTTGGACTGGTTGTTATTTAAGAAAACATGTACTTTTCCTCCAGCCTATGTAAGAATTAAATGAACAGGGTTGAATTAAATGAACAGGGTTTCTTACCTCAAATGCCTTGATTTACTGCAACACAAAAGACACAAACTTAAAAATAATTGAAATGTCACTGTGAGTAGGTTTTGGGTTATATTGGACAGTAATAATCACATTTAGAGAGCAGAGTCTCATTTAATAGCTGTTTTTACTTAACAAAATATTCCCATAAATTTTGTGATGTATTTGGTTTGTTGTAGAAACATTTCAATGTAATTTAGATAAAAGGTTTTATTATTTATTTAAATGGATTTTCTTTGACTTTGGTAATAAGATTGTCTGTGTGGCATGTGGATCTGGTTTCTGACCATATGGAATACTTTGTTGAGAAGGACCTTGACAGAGAATGAGGCTTAGCAGGATGGAGACTGGTGATGGCTGTAGTGGATGGAAAGCTGTGTGACTCTTATGCATTGGGTGTTCACACCCTAGGAAGACCAGAAAATCATTGCTTTGGAAAGGAGAAGTAAAACATAACATTGTCATTTAGAAGTAAACCAGTAGTATTTGCAATAATGATCTAGTAAGATTCTTGTACAGAATGTCTAATAAAGATTTTAAAATACTGATCTGATGTAAGAATGGAGTTGTGACTAAGCACAAGTAGCTCACACCTGTAATCCTAGCTACTTAGGAGGCAGAGATTAAGAGGATCACAATTTGGGATCAGCCCAGGGGAAAAAGCAAAACCCTATCTCAAAAATAAAAAAAAAATAAAATTACCCCAATCCAATGAAATAGATTGTGTTTCTGCTTTTATCACTAGTGACACTGATGCTCAAAGAGTAACAATATGCTCCATATCACATACCTCTTAAATGAATGATGGAAGTGATTGCACTGGCTGCTCAAGCAGCATAACTACTTACACAGTTTCCCTATGCAGACAAGATTTTAAGAGATGTAACTGCTGACCAGATCAATTTTGATAGTTCAACCTGGAAGACTACTGGTATTTAGCAAGATAGGAAAATTAGAGATGAATTTAAGAAATTAATGACAGCCAACATTAGTTGCTAAATGTAGAGTGAACCAACAATGAGAAGAACATCACAACAACTCATAATATGATGGAGGCAATTGCAAATGGTGGAAGTTGTTAAAATGCTTGGCCTAAGAGCAAAAATCACACCTGACCTGCTGTGCAGTTTAGTATGTCCTGTGCTAAAGAGGCAGAGAGTCTGGATTACGCCGTGGGAGATAAGAATGGTAAAGTCATATGGTCTAGTGGAAGGGATTATAAGGAGTAGTTCTGTTTGAATAGGTCCCTGATAAATATGTTTATTCCACTAAATTTGTGTTAGAAACTTCTGTTCCTGATTCTTTCTAGGAATTTGTATTTTTTTATACTCAGTTTTCAATGGAAAGGGTCCAGATAAAAATACCATTTACATGTACTAGTTTCTTTTCTTTTTTAAATTTTATTTTATCATTTTTACATTTAGTTACATATGGATGCATCATTTGGGTGACTTCCCCCCGCCCCCGTCTCCCCTCTGACCCCCCACTTCCAGGCAGAACGTGTTCCACCCTCTTGTTCTCTGATTTTGTTAAAGAAAAACATAGGAGATAATAAGAAAAACGTAGTGTTTTTGCTAGTTTGAGATAAAGATAGCCGTACAGAGAGATTCCTAGTGTTGCTTCCATGCACATGTACATTGCAACCCATATTGGTTCATCTCTGCAGACCTTTTCACTACTTCCTAGTCCCCTTCCCAAGTGGACTGCCAGTTTAAGATTACTATATTTGCTTCTAAACAGTGAGCACATCCACCACATTCAAGTTTTAGATTTCCTTCCTTTCCTCATTCCTCCCGCGTGCAATTCTCCCCTTAGCATGTGACCCATGTCCAATAATATCACTGCATTTGTTTTAGGTCTATAATCTGCATATGAAGGAGAACATGTGATTTTTGGCCTTCTGGGCCTGACTAACTTCACTTAAGATGAGGTTCTCCAGTTCATGGCTGAGTAAAATTCCATTGTATATAGATACCACATTTTCTTAATCCATTCGTCAGTGGTGGGGCATCTTGGCTGTTTCCATAACTTGGCTATTGTGAATAGTGCCGCAATAAACATGGGTGTGCAGGTGCCTCTGGAGTAAACTGAGTCACATTCCTTTGGGTTTATCTCTAGGAGTGGGATTGCTGGATCATATGGCAGATCTATGTTTAGTTTTTTAGGAAGACTCCATATTGTTTTCCAGAGTGGTTGCACCAGCTTACATTCCCACCAGCAGTGTACGAGGGTTCCTTTTTCCCTGTGTCCTCACCAATGTTTGTTGTTGTTGGTGTTCTTGATGATAGCTATTCTAACGGGGTGAGGTGGAATCTTAGTGTGCTTTTGATTTGCATTTCCCTTATGGCCAGGGATGGTGAGCATTTTTTCATGTGTGTTTTGGCCATTTTGACTTCTTCCTTTGAAAAAGTTCTGTTTTGTTCAGTTGCCCATTTCTTTATTGGTTCATTGATTTTGTGGGTGTTTAATTTTTTGGTATATTTGGGTATCAGTCCTTTGTCTGATGTATAGCCAGTGAATATTTTCTCCCACTCTGTGGGTGGTGTCTTCAGTTTAGAGACCGTTTCTTTTGTTGTGCAGAAGCTTTTTAATTTCATGTAGTCCCATTGGTCTATCCTTTCTTTTTGCTGCTGGGCTGCTGAAGTTTGGCTGAGGAAGTCTTTGCCTATACCTATTGTTTCCATTGTATTCCCTGCAGTT